CCTTTGTTGGTTGCTGGTCAAACCAATTCTCCCTTTCCGGTGGCTGGTGAAGCCGGATCTTTTAGTTATAATTTTTTAATTTCTCTTTGGAGTAGCAAGAAGATCAGCAAGGCTGTTAGACTAGACTACATTATAGCGGAGTTAGCGATCTGGAAGGATTCATTGAATCTGTTTCGTTCTATGTCTCATCCCATTGTAGCCTCAGGCTTTTCATTCTCTTGTATTTTTGCTATAGCTTAATAATAAATTAGTTATTTGATTTTCAAAAAAAACACTACAGTCAAAATTATGATATCTTCGTTAAATGTTACATCGTTCACACTCTATTCTTCGTTGTTTTTAATGATCGTGTAACATTTTATGTACTCTCTCTGTCCCCTCATAATTGTCTTATTTTTTCATTTTTGGATGTCCCTTATTATTGTCTCATACCATATTTGGTAACATTTGAGTGATTCTATCATTCTAATTCATTCTTACTTTATTTTCACATTATCAACTTTTTACTCATTATCAACTACTCGTACATAAGTCTACATTATCTCTTCAGTTTCAATATTAGAGGAACAAAGGTATTAGTATCTCTATTAGGGCTGGTTAAAAACTCCCGACTCCCGACTCCCGATCCCGACTAGTCGGGAATTTTTCCCGATCCCGACTAAGTCGGGACGGGACCGGGATTTTTTTTAAAAAAAAGTCGAGATCGGGAAAATCCCAACATCCCGACATCCCGACAATATATATTTATACACACACACTCATATATATACATACATGTATATAATTGTATATGAATATATAAAAAATGAATATACATTTATAAAAATGAATATGTATCTAAATATTTGCATATCTTTTTTAATTACTTATTCCTTACATAGATTAATCTTTTACTACGAGTACCTTACAATATCAAGTTCTAAAACTATTCGGCATTTGTCCGAAAATGAATATTCGGGATCCTAACTAAATAGAGATTATTCTTGATCCCGACAATCTAAATCACAAAAATATTACAAATTTTGCAGTTCTAATGAACTCTTTAAAAAATCATGATCGAGATTAAGATTTCTTTCTTTAGTAAATAATCATAATATGTATTTATACATTATATTCATTGGTCACAAAGTTTCTCAATGAGTCTACTTAGTTTTGAATTTTAAATAATACTATCGTATACGTTACACATCCTTCTTTTAGTGATTTTTATATAATGTTTGAAGTAAATTTCACTAAGCCTTGATTCAAAAATTATACTATTAATTAATTGAACTTACAAATAAAAATCATTCTAAAAGTATGTACTAGTGTGAATTCGAGATGATGATTATTACAATAAATATTATAAGTAGATGATGATAAATATGGTATAACAATTAACAAAGAATCATCTTGAAACCACTAAATATCAAAGTTAGTGTTTAACTAAAAAAATTACATAATTTTATGTTTGATACTTCATTGTCGGGATTAAGCGGGATTCCCGATCGGGATCCCGACTTAATCGGGATTTTAATGTCAGGATCCCGACTTAATCGGGACGGGATACGTGATCCTCTTGAAGTTTAAATCTGGATCGGGACGGGATCAGGATTTGGGCAATCGGGATAGGATCGGGATCATCCCGATCCCACCCCTAATCTCTATTAGTATCCATTAGTACATCTAAAGAATAGTGTGTGAACAATATACTACTAGTACGTAGCGTAGGCCTGGACTTGGGCCGGTTCGGGCCCGGGCCGGCGGTTCTAGAATGGGGGGCCGGAACCGGCTCGGGGTACTCCCCGGGTCCGGGTCGGGCCGGGCCAGGCCTTTGTTATTTTTTTTCCTTTTCCTAGTTAACCCCCCCCCCCAAACCACCCCAAACCACCTAAATGGCCCAAAATACCCAGCCCAACCCAAAAACAAAAAAAATGAAAAAAAAACAAAAAAAATAGAAAGGCCCAGAATCGGGCCCGAACCGGCCGGGCTGGTTCATGATTTAGGGGGCCCGAGCCCGGAACCCCCGTAGGTTGGGCCTACCTGGACTGGTCACTGACCGGGCCACCGGGCTGGGCCGGAATAGTGCCGGTTCGGGCCGGTTCCGGGTTGGGCCACCCGGCCCGAGTCCAGGCCTACTAGTACGTATAAAATAAGGAGTACTGCATGTACTATACTTGTAGAACAATACGATGGAACTCAAAACAAAACCACATGACGGATCAACGAATTTATCATCATAAGATAAAAACGAGTCCCTAAATAAAACCTTAGAAGATAAAACATAAGAACTACTTTGATAAATGTTTTACTAACCTACGCTTCGTAATTTGAGTATTTGACATTAACTCCTATGAGTTGTTTACATTCTTTTAGTCATACGGCGAGTATGTTTCTATGGTGGGACGCTTTGATTCATTTGAAAGTACACTAAGTAGTCTAACATAGCATTATGGTTATTGACATACAATGAAGAATATGGAGAAGGTCAGAATATGAAAACTTGTAGGGTTGATTTGTCCAGGTTGCAGAAATGAATCTTATACTTCGTACTATGTAATGAACTACGTAGTATAACTTTGTGCTAATTTATTACTCCGTACACTATTGTTCTCTGTTCTAAAAATCGTTCTAGGCGTCCGACTAGTCCCCGCCTAGGCGCTAAGCGGTGGCCCGGCGTCCCGATTTTCGTCTAGGCTCTCCGACTAATTGGTTTGCCATCTAGGTGAATTAGTCGGCCGCTTATGGCGCCTAGTTGCCCGCCTAGGCCGTCTAGACTCGTCGAACATTACTTTACTTTTAATTTTAATTTTCTAAGCGATACACACGTACTTTAGCTTTAGTCATGAATATAACGAAATGAAGTTTTAAATTAAGACAAAACTATATATGTTTGTATATATATACCTAAATTTTATCATTATTTATATTTATAACATAATGAAGTTAAGTGATTAGTTATCATATACTACGTATGATTAAATGTGATAATTCTATCATTCATATTTGTTAGTGTATATGTATATATATGTATTTTATACACACAACAATACAATATTACTTATCATATTTATGCAAAAATATAGATACAAATGTAATTTCTATATCTCCGACTAGTCCCCGTCTAGGCGCTAGGTGCTGGGCTGGCGCCCAACTAGCGCCTAGCGCCTTTTAGAACATTGATATTGTTGTTCTTATTATATTTTGAACATGTAGTTTAAAATTTTTAGTCTTTGGTACAACCTCCCTTGGACAAACCTCTGGCTCCGACACTGCTCATAACCTTCAAAAATAAATTTTAGGGTGTTTTGAAGCCAATGTAGTCCATTCATAACCAAATGCAACCCCACAAGGGTATCTAACCAATGTTGCGAACTGATGACACAATTGACCATCGAATTGTGAGTGTTGTGATAAAAATGGGCAAAAGACCCCTTCAATTCAAACGATACCAATTCTTTTTTAGTTCGAACGGTCAACATTTCAAACTTGCCAACGCACATCTTTGACCATAATTATATCTTAATCCCTATTAGTAAAAAATATTTAAAAATTAGATTTTGAAAATTTGTAATGAGATGAATTGAAAAATATAATTTAAAAAAAAATTCATAAAATAATAGTATAAAATGTAGTCAAAGTAGAACATGTGAATAGTGTAAAATTCAACATGTTGCGATTAAAAAGATACGTGATAAGGGTTAGGTACGTGGATCTGTAAAATTTGACACACTTTTATTTGGGGAGTCCTAATTGATGATATTTGGCTCTGATCTTGTTAATTAAAGTTATAGTATACCCTTTCCTATAACAAAATAAAATTCATAAAAAAAACCATGATTATGTGGAAGATCGGAACCATTCTAATTCTGTTGTCTGAAATTACCTGTCATTGCATATATAGCGAAATAGAACAACATCGTGGTCATGCTAATTAGCGCAAAAACGTCATTATTGTCAAAATTCGATATCTTCGTTGAATCGTTGAATTATAGGATAGAAATTCTAAATCAAGATAAAAACATGACAGTCAAAATTGTGATATCTTCGTTAAATGTTACTCCGTACATCGTTCACACTCTATTCTTTTTTGTTTTTAAATTTTAATGACCATGTAACATTTTACATACTCCCTCCATCCCTTCATAATTTTCTTATTTTTTTCATTTTTGGATGTCACATATTATTATCTCATACTCCGTCCTAGTTTACTTAGCCAAACTTGACTTTTTAAGTCAATGACGTCTAATTTTGACCGATTATATGTTTATATAGAGAAAATATTGATAAATGAAAATGGTATGAAAATACTTTTTGTTAAAAATACTATCATAAAAGTATAAAATTATTAAATTTTGCAAAAATATACTCCCTCCGTTCCTGAAAATACTTCCCACTTTCCTTTTTGGGCCGTTCCCAAAAATACTTCTCACTTTCCCTTTTTGTACAATTTGTGTGGCTCATATTCATTTTACCTTTTTCTTACACAACTACAACCACACATTTCCACTTTATTCCACTTTCTTAATAAGCGTGCCGATTCAAACCGGGAAGAATTTTTAGGAACGGAGGTAGTATTAGTTAAAATAATTGGTCAAAATTTACCATTTTTGACCGGAAAAGTCAAATATGGCTAAGTAAATTGGAATGAATGTAGTATCATATTTGATAACATTTGTATGACACTAATTCATTCTTACTTTATTCTTTACTTTTTTTTATGATACGAGAGAAAAGGAGGCGTTTCAATACGAGAGAAACGGAGGTATTAGTATTCATTAGTACATCTAAAGAATACGGAGTATAATAGAGTGTGAAGTTGTGAACAATACGATGGAATTGAAAACAAAATCACATGAAGGATTAACGAATTTATCATCGCAAGATAAAAATGAGTCCCTAAATAAAACTTTAGGAGATAAAACATAAGAACTACTTTGATAAATGTTTTACTATAAAAAGCTACGCTTCGTAATTTGACATTAGCTCCTACGAGTTGTTTACATTCTTTTAGTCATACGGCGAGTATGTTTCTATGGTGGGATTTGATTCATTTGAAAGTACACCAAAGTAGTCTAACATAGCATTATGGACTTATGGTTATTGACATACAATGAAGAATATGGAGGAGAATCACGATCCTCCTCATCATGATCATCATACGTTTCTTCATCAGAACCAAAAACTCGTCCAACAATATCATTACCTGACATTATCGATACATTCTGGTAGTATCTGAGCTGTGCCAGCACTTGTACGAGTTCATCTTCCGCTTCCTTGAGACACTGATTCAGATACCAAATATATTCCACACATCCAAGAACGGGGAACCGGTCCCGCATCTCGGCCTCAAAAATGATGGATTTCATGGCGTCGCTCTTCTTGTCGTCGTCCTCGTCTACCTGTTTCAGGGTTTTCATGACGTTTCTGATGCCGAAGAGGCGGTGCACGTTGAGGAAAGTTTTGGGCTGACTGGCCGGGAAGTACGGTGCCAAGGCGCAATCCGGCGAACATCTTTTTCTTTGGTGTTTGCAGGCCGCACAAGCTGGTGGGGCGCCGCCGCCTTCTCCTTGGGCAGTCATGTTCTGAGATCTCCTTAGCTTCCGGGCAGTTTGGTTTTGCTGCTATTTTTCCTGGTTAAATACTTGAAATGAAGAAATTAAAAAGAAACGGATAATTATGGCTAACGGCCAAGAGTAATATCTTGGTTTTGGGAGCGCAAATATACAGCTCTTTGATTTGAATTTAAGTTGTTTACGTTTACGCTGGTATTTGGTCGTTGAGTAGTATACAGTATACTTCGAAACTGTTCGTCTTAATCTTACCTATTATTACTTATTGTTTATTCTTATTTTATTCAGATCAGATTAGATCAAAAAAATTCAGATCAGATCAGATCAGAAAGATTCAGATCAGATCAGAAACATTCAGTTCAGATCAGATCAGGAACATTCAGATCAGAAAAGTCCAGACATGATTTATCCTTTTTATTATAATAATAATTATAATAATATTTATAGTAATTATAATAATTATAATTATTATTATTTTTGTTGTTGTTGTAATTATTATAATTAATATTATTATTGATATTATTATTATTATTATTATTATTGTTATTATTATTATTATTATTGTTATTATTAATGTTATTATTATTCTTATTATTATTGTTGTTATTATTATTATTGTTGTTGTTGTTATTATTATTATTATTATTATTATTATTATTATTATTATTATTATTATTATTATTATTATTATTATTATTATTATTATTATTATTATTATTATTATTATTATTATTATTATTATTATTATTATTATTATTATTATTATTATTATTATTATTATTATTATTATTATTATTATTATTATTATTATTATTATTATTATTATTATTATTATTATTATTATTATTATTATTATTATTATTATTATTATTATTATTATTATTATTATTATTATTATTATTATTATTATTATTATTATCATTGTTGTTGTTATTGTTATTATTATTATTATTGTGATATTTATTATTATCATGATTATTATTATTCTTACTACTAATATGGTTGTTGTCGTTATTGTTATTAGTTTTGTTTTCGTTATTATCATATTACACGGAGTAATTACAATTAAAATTATAGAAACAAATATTATAATTATAATTATAATTTTTATAATTATGATTATAATTATAATTATATTTAAATTATATATGTGTAATTACATTTATAATTATAGTAATTATAATTGTAATTATAATTTTAGAAATATTCAAATCAGATCAGATCATAAAGATTCAGATCAGATCAAAAGGATTCAGATCAGATAAAAAACATTCAGATCAGATCAGGAACATTCAGATCAGATCAGATCAGGAACATTCAGATCAGATCAGAAAGATTCAGATCAGATCAGATCAGAAAAATTCAGATCAGATCAGATTAGAACTTAAAAAATTCAGATCAGAAACATTCAGATCAGGTGAAGAGAACAGCTTCTTCGTCTACATTTCTAGTTTTCTAATTCGATGTGAATTTGCACTTTTAACTTTAAATTTTTACCGTTTTTTATGTTTATCTAACGTAATGTGAATTTGATTTTTTTTATTTAAATTACGAACTGTATTACACTATCATTTATTAATAGAATAAACTTGTGCTTTTGCCGTTGGTTGTATATATACTCGGATCGGTATATAGGAACATCTTCAATTCTATAATGTGCATGGTGCACGTATAACATAAGAAAGATACACATAAAAGATTAAAACTTTTGACATTTCTTTTGTCTTCATTCCACGGTCTTATGTGTTTTTTAGGGAATAAGGTGCATATTGCCTACTAAGATTTAAATGAAGAAGCACATTAGACACTAAGGTTATTTTAGGAGCAAATATATAAGTCAATATTTAAGTTTTTTGGGGCATAACACCCACCCACTCACATATATAATTTACTCCGTTTACTAGGGAGTACTTCAATGTTAATAATACTTGATGTGTGTCAACATGCATTTTTCTACTATATGCATATTAGTATAATTGTACTTATGTCTACATATATACGTTTTATATAAACATAGAGAAATGTTTTAATATAAAGTACTCTTCATATGAAACTGAGAAATAATTTTAGCCATTGAAATGAAAAAATAAGTGAATCAGATCAATTATTAAGTGCGAAATATGGTGACTAAAAGTGTAAATATTAGCAACTTTTTTTACAAATAAAATGCTAAATGTTCATCACGTACTATATAGGAAAAGTGCGGGCATTTGACTAACACAAAAGTGAATCGCTTTTCGAAATACACTAACAAATGTGATCGGTACAAAGAATATTTTGGAAAATGTTTTTTACACGAATGTTTTTAAATTAGGGTGGATTAGGACCTAGATTGGCCCTCTCTAGCCCCGCCTTTGTCGGTCGCTAACATATAATTGGGACCCAAAAATATTGCAGCTGCTAATGATATTGTGGCCAGGCCATATTCTCTTCGCTAAAATAAAATTAGTAGTATTTAATTTGAGTGTACTAGCTTATGTATGACAAACTATAAAATAATATATTTGACTAGCTATCATTCTGTAGCTCCATCCCAAAATAATTGTAGTTTTTTAAATTGAATAATGAAAAAGTCAACCTTTTTGAAATGTAGCACTCCTGTATGGCAAAAAATATACTACGGAAAATGTTTTGAACATGATAATGTTTGATACGGAGTACATAATTAAATTAGAGATAAAATGTCAATTGCTTTTCGGAAAATTAAGTGTATAGTAACATGTTTTTTTTGAAAAGATAATGCTAAACTTAAAACTCGTTGTAAACCAAAAGGAGTCCAAATTCAAAAAGGTGGAATCGCTTCAAGCACGTGCCGCTACACCCATGCTCGATAGAATGATAGAAGAGTAAATCATGCACGACATGATCTTATTAAACAGTTCTGAATTAGGTAATTCAGTGTCTCGTGCACACAAAAAACCATCACTGCAAATTAGATGAAACTTCTACACTGTTATTCTCGGGGATTGAACATTTGAACTTGAAACTTCAATGGAACTCCCCCCGTTGAGCTATACGTGCAATTAGTCCATGTTTTTGGAATTGAGCATTGCACTTGATGGAATATTGGTGTATTAGAATTTCTACACTTTGCATATTTTTTAACATGAATGCCTTAGAATTGGCACACAAATTGTTTTTAGTTAATTGGTTTGCCTCGGTTTCAGACTAGATCAGAACAAACTGAACTTAAATAAACTAAATTGAAATAGACTTAGACAATTGTAAAATACACAGAACAAATATTTACCGAATAAGATCAAATTAGATTTAAACATGCTAAAATAAGACCAAATCAAACCAAATAAAAAAATTCTATTCAATCAAAGCATCCTTGTCACTCATAATTGTACTCTCTATATTATCTCTTACTACGTATTTGATCTAGTTGAATATTATTATACCCACCATATCCCCTAACTTGTTGGGTACTTGAGTTAGTTTAGAAATATATCATTGGATTTTAGTCTCGTTTCATCATGGACTGGAATTTTATGATAATTTTTTGAATTGGCCCCCTCTGCTCTGATTCGGTGAATGCTTATTTATGTATATATTACCACTGTTAAAATCTGCCTGACCAATTTGAGTTTAGTCTTATTTGATATTGAAATCAGTCCAGTTAAAGAGAAACTGAACTAACAACACATTAATATTGGAATGACAATTGTTAGAAGGATACGATATTTAATTTTGTAGTTCAATTACGTAAATTTGGACTTGCACGTTATGTGTATAGGATCCGGGGCCTCTGCCTTGCTTTAAAGTAAGGTAGGGTGCCCGGCTTTTCCGGGCCGTTCGATCGGAGATTGGACGGTCGAAGATCTTGGGCTCCACTCGTTCCCCGATCTCGAGGTCATCCTCTTCCCCTCCTTGCCGTCGCATGCCGCAAGGCACTCTGCCTTATGGCAGAGGATCCGAATCCATGTGTACATAACTAACTAACAATCTAACATTTGTTATGGATTTGAAAATATAGAGTTTTGACTGCATTTTAGTCCTGTAATTTTAACTGTTTGCATGGTTAGTCTCGTGACTCTAGTCACTTGTAAGTTCGGTCCTGTAACTAAAAATAAATTGCGATTTAAGGACTTTCTCTTCGAAAAAGTAAGCTTTATTTCCGGCACAAAATCCAATGTTGGTGGCATCTTGTCTAGTATATTTTTGCTAGAAAGTGTACTTTTCTGGAGAAATTTTCTTACATCGCAAAAAATTATTAATTGCATGAGCGAACTTCACAAGTGACTAAGTTGTGCGAACAAAATTGAAAATCTATCTTTTATTATTTGCAAATATATTCAGTATACATGGTTGAAACTTCCTCCACGGACTTTCGAACTCGAAACCTCTCGTATGGAAAGTAAGTTGGTGATGACCAGTCGAGGTGGACCACTTTCTCATTAGTATTATACTCCCTATGTCCTGTAATTAAGTTTCTACTTTCATTTTTAGGATGGTCCATATTAAAGTTCCAATACTTCAAACCTTTCCTTATTTGGCAAATGATTTACACCAAAAAAGTGCCAAAACAGTGTTCAAACAGTGTCAAACAGTGCTCAAACGATGCACTAGCTTCACAGTAAAGTCAAATTTATTTTCTTTATATATGTGAAGTCAAATCATAAACTTATCATTCGAGCATATTTGACTACTTTTCAAATTAATCTATCAATATTCGTAACTATGTGTATGAATCGGAAAATGTTCGAAAACAGCTTTTCTTAATTGTATTCGTATTTGAGCTTCTTTGAATTCAAATAGTTATACTCCGTACCTCAATCACCAATTGAGCCTAAAATATTGAGGTATTAATCTAAATAGGAGTAAATTAATCTTTATTTGTCTAAAACTTCCCTAAATAGGAGTTATTATTTGTAATTGGACACAAAGACCCTTAAGCTTGGAGGTATACTGCCGCTGCTCAGAATACCAGACCACCGCCGGTCGCCGGGCACCCCTGTCGCCTCAAAAGCTGGTCGTCGTTGCAGATCTGACCATCGCGGATGCAAATCTGGTGGGCGTCGCCGGAGATCTGGCCAGATCTAGCCTCTGCCTGCCGTCCGCCGCTGCCCCGACGATCCAGGTACCGTCACAACTAATCCGGCATAAGCTACTGCAACACTGACCTCCCCAGATGCAGATCTGGTCTTTACCAACGTGAATGCCAAGATTTTTTTTCAGAATGCCATTTT